CCCGTGGTGGGCAGAGCACAGATAGCCCTTGTGTAGCTTTGTGCATAATTAAAAAACAAAAACCAATCTAAAGAGGCTTTCCTCGTTAGCTGTTTCGAAATCTCATATGTCGTCGCGTTCCCTAATTTTGAGGAGACTACAATCCAAGATTTTATATTAAAATACACCCTTTAATTCCGAAGAGACTTTCGTTACAAGATTTTTAGGAGACACTTTTTTTTTCTTTTTAGTGCAAGGTGTTAACAGTAATAACGAAGAATATCCAAATGATCCAAGCTGAGGAACACCAATATATTTTTGAAACCAGGTGTCGCTGCAGTATTTGACATGTCTTCGTTGTTTAGTAACTACCTCTAAATTTAATTGTTAAGCCTAACGTTCGGATCGTGAACATAACTTAATTCATATGCCGTTCGAATAGGATATACGTATCTATAAACCAAAACCAAAACTTAAAATGTCAAATTTGTTTATTTACTTTGCTGATTTGTTTGTTAATAATGGTTGGAGACGGCTTGAATGGGTAATGAAGAAAAACTTTAATATAAGTTTAACATAACAGCAAATGTATTAAAGTTTTTCTTCATTACCCATTCAAGCCGTCTCCAGCCATTATTAGTCTCAAAGTGGGTTCCTCGTCATCGAATTTGATTTGTTTGTTGTTAAGCCTGAAGCTGCATAATTGGCTATCTGTGCTGGGCCCACCACGAGTAGAAATATCTTTGGATTTCCGAGTACTATTACTACTTTTTGATATCACATCAACGGCCCCTTTTTTGGACACATAATACCCCCCAGTAGATGTGGAATGATCGGTGTGATTTATTGTTTGAAACCCTGACATACAAGTTTACGGGCATACAAAGCTAGAATCTGGGGGAGTTCGATTCCCCTCAGTGGACACAGTAGAGCCCGATGTGGCTTAATCAGTTAACGAAAAGTAAAATAATATTAACATGTTAATAAATTACAGTTAAAAAAAGACTGACTCGTGATTTAGGGACTGTAGACAAACTTCAGATTTCATGGGACACGGCTGTTTAAGAAATCTCAAATAGAAAAGGCTCTCCGTATAAGATTTAGTGGAATACTGATTATGTAGGTTTAATTTTTTAATTTTCCATAAGAATCCGAGAGAAGAAACAAAACTCTCTCTCTCTCTCTCTATATATATATATATATTGTCTATTCCTAACTCTTGACAAACAACTTAAACTGGCCACACCTACCTGTTGACGTCAACGTCGGTGGTTTCCAAGATACTCCGAGCACGCTCTACGTGCTCGTGCTCCACAGCAACAAATAGAGCTGAAAGGAATTCAATAGAAGGATTAGGGTTGGAAGAATGTTAAAACCTTGAAATGTCTCACCTGACACGCAAACAAGATCACCAGAGTTCCGGCAGCCATCTTTGTAAACATTGACGTCACACGTAATGTTTGGTTAGTTGCTACAGTAACAGCGCGAGATATCGACCAGTTGACATCTTTAGGTTTCAAAACATGAAAACTGATTCATTAGTAAACCGAATTAGCACAATAACATCGACGAAATTTTTAATATTTACAGATTTGAAAAATGTTTTGGATTATTGGGGAGACAATAAGCATTTTCCTTTAAAAATGCCCCTAAGTAATGAAACTGGGGGGGATATTACTTACACTTATGCAAAGTAATGATACTTAAAGAAAAACACAAACCATGACTAGTCCTAATTTCTTTGCTCTTTTCACCAACAGAAACAGAAACCGTGTTGGCTTCTTGTTTCTGTGTTCTTTTATAATCAGCAGTGTGATAAAGTTGTTATCATAACACCTGTCGAGCCCCTCCCCCTCCATACAATAGGTTCGTCTCACGCGTGTCTGCAGTTCGAGGCTTAGCATTCATCCTTCCACTGTTACAACACTGGTTCAACTAACTCAAGATTGCTGGGAAGGTATAATTAAACATTTTAGAGAAGGTTGAGCAGTATGGTTATGGGAGGGGCTTTATTAGTTATAAATGGTGGGTGGTATGTTATCTCGTGATAAATATATTAATTTTGGTTTATTTATTGAGAAATTAAAATTATTTTTTTATAATTCGCTTGTGAATGCAATAAACCTTTTACCAACTTTCTAAAGTGAGAAAAAAATTACAGGAACAGCCCCCCCCCCCAAAAAAAATGAAAAAGTATAAAACAAACGCATAACACGAACGTAACTAATAATTATAATTAAAACTGGCACTGACGAGTGCCTACAGAGATCAGGTACGCATTATTTTTAATTGATGTTATTTATTGGGCTACTGTGCTGTGCCCAACGTGGGTATCGAAACCCGATTTTTAGTGTTATAAGCCCTCAGACTAATGCTGAGCCACTGGGAGGTTGTGTGTGTGTGTGTGTGTGTGTGTGTGTGTGTGTGTGTGTGGCATTTTATATCCAAATTACAACAGCATC